CGGAAGCCGGAAGCAGCAGAGACGAGCTGTCGCGCATGCTGTAAGTTGCTGGATTCTTCTCCGAAAGTCAGCATCCTCCTCTCGTTCGCCCAGCCAGGTACCGCCGCATGCTCCTCCCTGATGCGCTCTCGGTCGTGGCCAGTTCCGGCCATCCAGACGCTGCAGGAGCTGCTGGCGTTCGCGGCGTGTTTCTCGAGGCGGGGTCATCGTGCACACGTGTCTCCCTTTCAGGTCTTTTCTCGAAATGAGCTCTCAGCCGCCGACCAAGGGGAGAATCTGTATTGTTTATTGCCAAAGAGACTGATCTCAACAACCCCCAGCCCTGTGCATTCTCAAGTTTGCCCATCTTTTGCAACAAAATAGCCCAACTTTTAACATGCTGTACGTACAACATGATTCCTGCTGTACGTACAACCGTTGGGCGTTGGGGGGTCAAGCCAGCGTTTATTCTCCAACGTATGGGGCAAGTTGGTAGACACGTAGCTAATGTACTGGTCCGACATGATGGTCGATTCAGCCTTAACGTGTTTTTTAATGAGGGAACACAACGTCTTCTTCGTGCGGTCATCGTACGATAGGACGCCAAACCAGTGACCTGACGTACGGTCGACCCCACCGAACAGCCAACAGTCCTCGTGAAAGACACCACGGCTGTACTTGCTTTTTTTTCTTGACGCTTGTCTCGTCGATCTCGACGATATGACCGGGACCGCCGATCTGTATACAATATGAGTTAGAATAGGTTGTAGATAAGCTGATGTTAGCAAGTTTGTACCTGCATGGGGCAAACCAGCGTCGCCTTGCTGCAGATATCTCTGCAGAACGAGTACCAGTCAGTGACGGTCTTGTCACTGACGCCGGTCCCCGCCATGGCGACGTTGGCCTGCAAGCCGGAGGCTCAGAAGTACATGAGCCTGACGCATTGACACAGCGACAACTTGGACTTGGAGAAGAAGGAGCCGGCTCGCAGGCGGCGCTCCTTCTGACAGCCCTTCCTGGAGCACCGCCACCTCCACCCCTTGGCCCCCGACGCCGGCTCGCAGAGGTTCATGCTTCCGTCGCAGTTTGAGCACAACATGCTGCTTGCGAGCAGCCCCCTGACTTCGCAGTACGCGACACAGTTGCGCTTGTCCACGGTGGCCCTCATGACGTTGTCAAATGAGAAGGCCTGGTGACTCAAGTGGTAGGCGTAGGGAGACGGGTCGGGGTGCATGCCCGTGACCGCGTCCGTGGTCGTGGAGTTGGTGGTGGTGGCCATAGAGGTGGTGGGTTGAGGTGGGGTTGCTGGCTTGCTCTGGGTGGGGCTCTTTCAAAACGACTGAGCTTTGTGTATGAGCTGCGCCAAGTGGGCGCGAAAACTGGGATCTGCGTGCTTGGCCAAGTGCACTTGGCGGGAAGCGGAGATGTAGCGGTTGAAGTACATTTTGTTACATTTCGTACCGTATCTAATTTTTCTATCGCGGTCTTATTGTCAATTTCTATCTGGGGCTGTCCTCCGGGAGTGTCGAGTACAACACTGGACAAGGTGACCAAGTATTCGGCTGAAGCTGAAGCACTTCCCAAATCGATGAAGCTGGTGGTGTATGTGGGCTACATGCTCCGATACCCACTGTTCTACTTGAAGATCGAGAAGCTGCTTAAGGGCAGGAAACCCGTGTGTCTCATGGCGCGCTACAGCTGCACGTACGCGAACATCCCGAGCCCGTTCTGGTGGAGCTCGGAGCACTTCGGCGGCCCAATCATCGAGCAGGTGACGCACTTCGCTGATATCGCGCGGTATCTTGTGAGTGATGGGGGCATGGACACAGTCTACAGTCGCGTGGTGAAGGCCAGCCTTACTCCGGATGAGATCTGCTTCTTGGAGAAGGTACTCGTGAATTAGCGTCGTGCCACCGGCGAACCGCGTTCCTCGTGCTAACGTGGCTAACTGGTACTTCAAGAGTGGTGCACTCGGCAACCTGGCTCAAGGTGTCTGCTGCAGGGTGAGACATACGACGCGTAGATAGATATCAAGGCGAACGCTTGGGTATCGGAGGAGTAAAGCCGTACTCAGAGACGCTGATGCTCACTGTTTTGCAGCACAACAGTGACGAGGAGGTGGCGTTCGAGCTCTCTGGCGACGACATGTACCTGACCGATGACCTCGAGTTGTTAAAGGTCACTCACGGCGAGAGCGATGACTTTCGCTGTCAGTACCAGGACGCTGTGAACACGTTCGCGTTGACATGCAAAATTTGTGACGTAGCTCTTGCAAACTTGGCTACTACTACGGGTTACTGTACATCTGGGTAAACAGGAAAGAAATGACGCACGTAGACCTTGATGTGTGCATGTGTGACGACAAGTGAATTTATTATCTCGAACAAAAGGATCAATCATGTAGCGAAATGCCCGCCAATGCCGTCTCAGTTTTGTAGATTTTAAAAACGCTTTATATTTCGCTCTGTGTATACATGGTACATTTTGTACACATTGTGCATGAGGATTACGGTACGATAGGGACACACGTTATTGTATTGGGGGTGAAGACGGTAGTCATTAGGGCGCTATGGATGTATATTGGAATTGATTGAAAAACGGACGTTGCGCGAAAGTTCCTCAAAACGTCTACTTCAGAAGTACCGATTTAATTACTACGTTAAAGGGTGAATTCACATGTGGGATCGTACCCGCGCTGAGACTGGTACTGAGCGAGGCGTCATAGCGCGATATGAGCAAGCCCTTCTGGATTCTTCGCGAGCACGTGCCGCTAGGCGCGTGCAGAGCCTGCCCTGGTACGAGGCTTGCCTCTTATGCCACCACGCAGTCCGGAACGTCGACCACAAGCACCTCGCGGGGCTCGTCCAGCCAGCGCACAAGATACTCACGATGTGGAGGCACCTCACCGTCGCGGTGACGAGCGCCGCGACCCTGCGGCGGAGCAGCGGCAACATCGTCGTGCCGAAGAATCGATTCCACGATATTTCAATACCAGCGCGATCTACGAGGGGGGAGGGGCCACCACGCTGGAGTGGCTGATCGTCCTCGGCGGGAGGAATCTGCAAACGCGCAGCTTCTGTATCGGCTTGCCGACGCGTGGACCAAGTTGTGCGGGGGAATACCGAGTTGCAGCACTGGCTGGAGTGTTCTGGAGGCGACACGTCGCATGCTGCCGCCTGATGATCGGGACGCTGGTAAGTGGAAACAGTGTTGCTGGGTGATATCGACGGAGGCGGCTAACGTAGAACGTAGGTGTAGTCGAAGCGTTGAAGGTAGTAGCAGCGTATAAGCATCTCCCAATACTTTCGTAACCTTGAATGATCTAATATATCGAGGCGCGAGCTTACTCATGCATAAATTCGTCACTAACGAGGGCCAGATGCTAGCCGTGAATAATACAACACGATCTTCCACGACAAATTTCTCCAGGTGCTTGCGTCATCGCTCATCTGCGCACTGGTTTTAGCGGTCGACGGCGGACGCGATCGCATCACGGACATAGCGAGTAACTGACACGCGATTTCGGACATAGTCATGAGCAGCCGTAGCATCGCGCATCTGCGGCACCGGGTTCGGCTCGAAATTGGGGGGGCTCGATCGCATCCTGCCGCTTATTGCTGGAGGTAAGTCGAAGCTGGCCAGCGGGGTCGATAAGCGTCCGAGCCGTCCAATCCGTAATATGGCGTGGCGCCACCGGCTGGGGTAGTGGCGCTCTCGTAGCGATACTGTGAGGAGGCGAATCAAAAGTCTGTGAGGTTGCTGCCCTCATGAATGCACGCGTAAACACCCCTTGCGCTGCAGCCTGAGCTGCATTTTGAGTCGTCACGCTTTTGAATAACGCTGAACAGGAGTCGTAAGAGCGCTCACGACCAGCAGCGTCGTGTCCATCATCGGTATCACTGGGATGGGAAGCGCTAGAGGTGGTTCGAGACGCGGAGGGGTGGGCGTCCGTAACGTTGTTATCGGAGGAGCCACCAGTGTTTGGCGAAGCCATCGAGCGCCCGAGGCCGAGGAGCATTGGGATGAGAGGATGTCGACCGCAGTTGAAGTAGAATGGATTGAGTACCGTGGATGCATGCTCAGCGTTGTTGAGCGCAAACTCGACCATCGGTAAAAACGGACTCCACGACTTGAAGGACATCGCGTAGCTCCGCAGGACGTCTTTGAGACCCGGCTTACTCGATTTATCTGGCCGTCCGTCTCCGAGTGAGCCGCGATGGACATTAACAACCGCGTCCCAATAGATTCGAATAGCTCGGGCCAGAAAGCGGCGGTAAAGCGGGAATCTCGGTCTGACACGGTCGAGGTCGGTAAGCCGTGAAGTCTGTAGACAGTGTCCTCGAAGATTGCCGCCGTCGCTGCGGTGATTGTAGCAGCAACTGGATCAAGATGCACCATTCTAATGAACCTGTCAACAAGGACAAAGATACCAGTGCAACCTTGCGCGTCACGAGGTAGCCGAAGACGAAGTACATGCTAGCGGGATTCCACGCACTTTGTGCAACGGGAAGTGGTCGAAGTGGAGCTTGCCTCGACGCAGCCGACTTGACTTGCCTCGCGCTTCGCACGAGCGTACCCGCTTGTGCATGTGGGGCCAGTAGAAGTCTCATGACAGCGTCGCAAAGCCCTTCTTGCGACCGAGGTGTCCGGCGCTTCGGCTGTCGTGGAATTCGTGCATTATTTGAGTACGAAGGGTATCGTCCAGCGGGGAAACTACACGTGGAGTCTCGAAGCGGTCGACGCAGTACGTCAAACAAGTCACCGTCCATAGCATATCGGTCGACACGAGAGCGGGTACGCGAGGACAGCCGGTGCCGCGCAGCATCTGACGGCACCCTCAAGTACGTGATGATCTCGGAGCACGCCGCATGGTACTCAAATGCAGCAGCTATCGCATCCCGAAGCGGACTGGTCGCCGCGATCTCCATTGCGGCGATTCCTTCTGCAAAACATACTGCGCACTCGTCGTCATCGTCGTCGTCGCCGACCGCGTGACGAACCTATTGCGTGCGGGGATCGTAATCAGGGCGGCGCGATAGCGCGTCGGCGAGAATGTTGGTCTTGCCCAATTTGTACTTTACGACGAAATAGTACTCGGAGAGCAGTGACAGCCAGAGCAGCATGCGCTGAGACAAATGAGGGTCCTTCGTCGCGGTCGGCAACGACGCATGATCAGTGTAAACGGCGAAGGCATGTTCACCCAAGAGGTACACGCGAAACTTAACGAGCACGTAACGCGTGACGGCCAGCTCCTTGTCGCGGACAGGGTAGCTACGCTCTGCCGGTCTCAGCTGGCGCGACTGGTAGCTCACTACACGCTCGCGTCCTTCACCATTGAGCTGCATCGAAGCACAGCCGATGGGAAAGTCACTCGCGTGGTAGACAACATGAAATGGCTTCAAGTGATCAGGCAGCTTCAAGACCGGCGCGGACGCAAGACTAGTCTTTACTGCGTCCAAGGCAGCCTAGAGCTCCGGTCGCCACGACCACGTGGTGTCTGCCTTGAGTAGATGCGACAACGGGTGGACAGTCGACGCGAAGTTCTTCGAGTAATTGTGGAGACACGTTGCGATCTTCAACCACTATCGGAGTTGGTTCTGGTTCTGAAGCGTCGTCCATGCGCAGATAGCTTTAATCTTCTCCGGGTCAGCACGGACGATGTCCGTGCTGACATAGCTGCCGAGCACTGGTATATCGGGACCCCAGAAGATGCAATTCTTCAGGTTGGCATACCCGTATCACTTGGAACACCTGCCGCAGATGTTGGAGGTGAACCTCGACGGCGGCCATGCCGTCCTCGGCACGACTGTGGACAAAGCTATCGTCGCCATAACTCGGCACAAAGCTGCGGTAGGGTCGAAGAAGATTAAAAAAATACTGTTGAAGGTGACAGGGGCGTTCTTCAGCTCCTGCGGCATCACAAGCCGCTCCCACGGCATTCCACTGGGCGTGCTGCTGACAGCAGTCAGCGGCACGTCGTCTTCGCGTATCAAGATTTGATAGAAGCCGTCCTTCACGTCGATCGCGCTGCTCTTGACAGACATGGTGTCCAACACCATGTCTTTACGCGGGATTGGCGTTTGCGCCGGGATCGTGGAGTCATTGAGCTTGTTGAAGGCGTGCGCAATGCGCCATCCACTCGTGGTCTTTTCACCCAAAATGTCGGACTGGAGTATGGTGACACGCTTTCACGGACGTGTCCGGCTTGACGGCGACCCTCAAAGAAATCATCGATGACTCCCGTCTGGTCTCACGGAAGCGGCCATTGTCGCGTGACCCAGTACTTGGCACCGGGCGTGAGGTCGAGCTCATGACGAACCCCACGATCCGAAGGAAGTACGGCGGGGATCTTGTCCGGGAATATTTCGATAAGCTCGCGGACGAGCGGAGCAACAAGGCTACCGGATGCCTCGAATGCCGGCAGCGATTCAGCTTCGTGCCTATCTTTGCGAGCTGTTTTCAGTTCGACTGGCCTTGGCCAAGACGCGCGTCTGACGCTGACATTTCAGCATCCACCTCAGCCGTCGTCACTGAGTCAGCGGATTCGGGAATGATCATGCAAACTTGCTCAATCTCTCCACGTTTCAAGTCATGGAGGAAGTAATTCTACGAGAGACCAGGGCGCTGCGACTTCGACTTCTTGAGCACGTGCAACGTTGTCGTCGCCGTCCCCCATCAGGCCTGAGCTCACCTCAGTTCCAGTCGCCGATGAAAACACGTATGACGTGCAAGTCCGTCGCGGCTTACCTCGACCACGACGGCAAACCGGGGGTAAAGCGTCCTCCTCGACAGACGATGAGAGTCGACGCTCGATCATGTTTACCGGATGCGGGATCGTCGACTCAATTGCATCAGCTTCTCCAGGGAGCCTCCACGTGGGAGCTCACGCTCGACTGCTTGTGAGAGACCAAGCTCGACCACTCTTGCTGAATCGGAGAGCTCCCGCTCGACCACACGCGGGAAATCGTTGTCGGTCGCTAGTAGGATACCACGCTCAGCCATGGATACATTTTTATCTTCGGGGAGCTCCCGCTCAACCACATGCGGCAACGCAGGCTCAACCGTTGGTGGGAGGCCACGCTCAGCCACGACATCTCTGGAGAGCCACTGCTCGTCGGGGAGTGGGAGTCCGTGCTCGACCACGTCCAAGGTGTCCTGAGGCTCCAGCTCAGGACCGACACAAGTTGCGCGCTCACACGCTGCACACGAAGGGCCATCGCTCTCCCCGGAAACAGCGGTGGTCATGGAGTCGGGGTCCATGACTGCAACACGTGGTCAACGGTTGGGCACTCCGCTCAGGAACACTAACACAG